AGTAATTAAGAGTATTATTTTACAACATAATAGTAGATGAGCCCTATGTGGCAATATATAACAAGTCAGCACATAGAACAAAAGCAGGGAGGCTATACAAGCTAATCAGCACACTATGCCTCCGGAGCCTTCCCTGATGGGCCACCACCTGAACTATCGCCTGAAAATGTTAAACCACGGGTGAGACAAATGCCTCAGTAACCAACTTTCCAACTCATCATACATACTAACACGTGCTCGTGAGGTGTCAAGTGGGACAGTTATTAATTCTCGAGAAACATAGATATATCCATAGAAATATAATTTCAATCATCCAAACCCTCACTATGGGGGCCAACACACAAGCCACATAAGTCTATCCCTCACTCTGGGGGATCAATCAAACATATGGGCCTATCCCTCACTCTGGGGGACGAAAGGACAAAGCCAAATGTGCACCAATGGCGGCCTTACCACGTGGTAGGATAGGACTCAATCCAAAATCCAAATAACAACCAATCATTCACAATATAATAAAAATGTCTCAATCTTTTCTCAGTATAATCAATAAGATATAAATCATATATCTCTTCCAAACTTCTCAATCAGCATTCCAAAAATCCCACAAGACAATTTTCATAACTCAAAAGATATAAACATATCTATTCAAGTTCCAAATATCAAATATTATTCTAAAAATAGCAAAATACTCACAAACAACATATTAGCACATAACAAGTGGAAAGTGGTTACCTCTCGCCAAAGCAATACTTAGGATTACCAGAAGGTCAATCCTATGCTCAACCAATAATTAATCTACACAATTAATATAACCACATATTAATATAAACTAATTAATTGATTAATTAAACTTCTCTATATTATTTAAAGTTTTACTCTAAATTCCGCAACTCTTATAACCCAAAAATTATTAAGTATTTTAGCAATAACTTAAAAAATTTCTAACAACCCCAAATATTTATTTACCACCTCCAAATTATTACCTTAATAAAAAGGATTTTCAACAATTTCCAAATATAAAATTATATATTATAAACTCTAAAAATCCTCATTTAAGTTTAAACCTCAAAATCAAAACTATCAAAAATTCAATAATACTTCAAATATTTATAACTAAATAATCTAATCAAAACTTTAATGGTACAACTACCATATATATATATATATATATATTTTCATAAATAATAGACTTTTTAGCTACAATAATTATTTTAAAACCTCCAGTCACCCAATAAATTAAAACTAAACCGATTAAAATCTCAATAATATATCAAAACAATCCAAATAAATTATTTAACTTGAATTTATCGGTAAAAATATGGTATATCTCATACATAACAGATTTTCCACTAAATAAATAATTTTAAATACTAAAACTAGCAAATAGAGAAATCTAAACTGATTAAAATTAACAACTCATTTACTTCTAAATTTCTATAGTCATCTTTGTCAAAACTCAATAGTTATATCATATATAAGTCTCAAAATTTTCTCTAATCACTATGATAATACTACTATTAGGAAGCATAAATATATATGAAATATTTATGAAGAAAGTTTGATGAAAAGAGATAATTCATGTACCTAAAATATCTTCAAAGCTTGTCCTCTGCTTCACCGGTATGATTCTCTCGACACACACACTTCCTCTCTCTCTCTCCCTCTCTCTTGCTCCTTCTTCTTGCGCCTGCCGTGGAGGGGAAAATGGATGTGGGGGGTATTTAACACCCCCACACAATTATTGGGGGAGGGGTTTTTCAAACCCAACCCCACGTTTCCACCCCCTCCCCAAATTTTCCACCCCTCCTCCAACTTTCCACCGATATTTCGGTGGAAAGTTGGACCTTTTGTTTTTTGTTTTTTTTAAATTTTAATTATAAAAAATATTATATATTAATTATATTATTTTATTTTTGAATTTTTTTTTTAAAGGATATTACAAGATGGCACAAGGAAAACCACACAAATGATAGTGTATTAAGACATCTGGCTGATTCTCTTGCTTGGAAACACTTTGACCAACAATATCCTAGCTTTTTTGTTGATGTAAGAGGTGTGTGATTAGGTTTGCAAGTGATGTATTTCAACCTTTGGGAATATGAGTGACAATCATAGCATTTGGTCTGTTGTTTTGGTACCGTATAATTTTCCACCATGGCTTTGCATGAAAGCCCGTACTTCATGATGACACTTCTTATTCTTGGTCCAAAGTGTCTGAGCAATGAAATAGATGTTTATTTGCAACCAATGATTGAGGAGGAGGTAAAACAATTGTGGGAAGTAGGGGTGCAAAAATATGATGTACACTCTCAATCAAATTTTACCATGCATGCACCAATGTTGTGGACAATAAATAACCTTCTTGTATATAGAAACCTTTTAGGATGGTCAACCAAAGGCAAATTTGCCTGCCCTTGTTGTCATAAAGACACATATTGCATTTCATTAAGGAGTAAGTTATCTTACATGGGTCATAGGTGCTTCTTCTACAATTAGGAAAGGTAGAGGAGTTTATAGGTCAATTAAAATAGACTTGAGAACCAAACTTGGAGCAAAGATTCCAGTTAAAATTACAAATGACATGACAAGAACAATAGGATCAGAAGCAAGAAATCTATCTAACTATTGTGGTTTGATTGTTAGAACCACAGTATGTTTTGGATGTTGTGTTGAGTGGAAGGATGTGTACAAAGAGTATGGTACTGAGATGACCTTAAAAGTGAAGGTACTATTTATTTCAATAATTATAATTATGTTTTTATAACAAGTACTTGTGCTTATGTTTGTTTCAGGAAAATTTGAACCTGCTGTTGCAGCTGATGAAGAAATGTTTCTAAAAGTTGTAACAATTACTTTCCAAAATGCTTTCAGAAATTGGAAGACCAGCTTTCATAACCACTATAAGAAATATGACACTGATGAAGAAAGGTTAGCTAATCCACCTCAAAATGTTAGTTCTAAAGATTGGAAGTGGTTATTGACATACTTTTAGTCTGACATTTTTAAGGTATCTTACTAACCTTTCAATTTGATCATATTATTATTGCATTTATTAAATCTGCATTACTTACCCAAATTTGTTATAGAATAAGAGTGTAAGAAACACACAAAATCAAGGAAAATAGGTTACGAAGCATACTTATGGTCCTCGTTCATTTGCAAAAATTAACTACTATGTAGTAAGTTTAATTTCCCATTCATTTAACTTATGTTTTACTCATTTGTTATCTTTGGCCGTGCTATTTCTTGTCTTTGTATATTATCCTTTTTAAAGACACCCCACAACTGGACAGCCTGCACCCCCTGACCTGATGTGGGAGTTAATGCATACTAGAAAGACAGTAGATGGACAGTTAGTATGGGTAGATCCACAATCTGAACAGATTAACGTATGCATTATGTTTTTATGTTTCTAGGTTCACTTAATGAATTCATTTTTGTTCTGTTAGCTTGATGCTTTAATTGTAGGCTCGCATGAAAGAAGTCATTCAACAACAAGAATTATAGAGTGATGCTCGAATGACCTTTGATGAAATATTAACTGCTTTTCTTGGTGAGAGGTCAGGATATGTAAGAGGAAAAGGCTACAGAGCTGAGCCTCCTAAGAAGAGAGCTAACACTCAATCTAGTCAAAATTCAATTGACAATATGCGCGCTCAATTGCAAGAAGAGTTTGATAGAAGAATTCAAGAGGAGTGAGAAAAAATGGAAGCAAATCTTGCAACAGAGTGGGAAAAGACAGAAGCAAGTCCTGCATTAGAACATGTAAAGATGGAAGAAGAACGTACACAACTTGAGCAAAGAATGGAGTAGAGAATGCAAGCTCAGCTTAGTGCTTTCATGCAGAAATTGCAAACAAATGCTCTTGCATCCATCTCTACATCTACTCCTACTTCTAGTGTCTCGCGTACTGGTCCTTCATCATAGTTTTCGGAGTTCATTTATAAAATGTATCTTATAGAGAACAATTTCTTTTATTTTTTTCTAAAGAGACTGAAATGCTTTGGTAGTTTTAAAGAATGTTATGAATATTATGACCTAATATATTATAATTGCTTATTACTTTAATTTTTCAGTGCTTTATTATTATATTTATTAGGAATATAGGTTTTCATTTCATTTAACAATTTTTTTAACCAAAAAATTTTTTGATCTTCAGCGGCAACAATTGTCATCGCGGAAAACAAGAATCATGTGGCCGCCTATATAGCAGCGACAATGATGTTGCCGTAGATAATTCATTTAGTGGCGACAATGCCATAGATTATACTTTTTGCGATGGCAAGTAGTTGCCGCCTATACAGTTTTTAGTGACTACAAATTTGTCACCGCAGATCATTCTTTTAGTGGCAACTGATACACTATCTTTAGCGGCTACATTTTCTTCGAAAAGAAGCTGGCCTCACTTTCAGCGGCAACTGTTTGTCGCCGCTAAATGTCCACTTTTAGCGACGACTCAAAAATGTAGCTGCCAATACTTTCAGCCATAGTCGCTATAGCGGCGACTTTTTCATCACTGTTGAAAGACTTTGAGGCTTTCAGCAGCGGCTTTTGTCTCCATTGAAAGACTTTGAGGCTTTCAATAGCGGCTTTTGTCACCATTGAAAGTTAATTTTTTTTGTAGTGAATTAATGTACATAACCAAAGGAGAGTAGAAGTACAGTGCTATAAAAATTTAAAAGAAAAAAAAGCATAGGATTGGGGTCCACATGCTAGGTGGGGCCCACCAATAACAAATCTTTATCTTCCTCTCTTCTTAGATAATCATACTACTGTAATAAAGAATCAATACAATATCCACGCTGATCACAATTCTATTAAATATTAATAATTTGGATTCTAGAAATTTTAGAGAATGTGTGTGGGTGTGATATATATAAATATATATATGTATGTATTGTAATAAGAATAAAGAATTATCAAATTTATGTCACAAGTTCCAATTAATCCTACTTCATTTTCATATTAAATAACTATTAAACGAATTCAAATGGGCATAAATGGCACAGGTATTTTACATGTATAGTGCTGGGCACCTTGATGCTGTGTTCCCAGAAGAATATCGTAAAGAAATCCTTCGATACCATACTATCACCAGGTATATATGACATATATACATATTTAAGCATCAAAACCTGCTTTATTGTATTGCTCATATTTTACAGTTTTAAGTTTTCATGTATGTGTGTGTGTTAAAAGAATGAAGATGGAGGGTGGGGCCCACACATAGAGAGACACAGTACCACGTTCTGTACTGTGCTGAGTTATATATGCATGCGAGTGCTTAGAGAAGGACCCAATGGAGGCCAAGACAATGCTTGTTTCAGAGCTCGAAAATGGGTTCTTGATCATGGTGGTGCCACCTGCATACCCTCTTGGGGAAAGACTTGGCTCTCAGTACGTTCTATTTTATTTACCTACATGATAGGTTTTATGCATGGATGTATATACGTATGTATGTATGTAGGTATGTATGTATGCATGTCTCATATATATACATATATATACGTTGTTGTAGATACTTGGATTGTTTGAGTGGCGCGGAACAAATCCAATGCCGCCAGAGTTCTGGCTCCTTCCATCATTCCTTCCTATGCATCCAGATACGTAATTCAATGGTGAACATACATTTCTAATATCAGTTTATTATTTGAAGTTTTAATTTCATGTCATATCTATTTACTCTCTTAATTTTCTGTTGATATTTTCTCTTCATTATTTTAAGTCTATTATAATTAATTTTGTTAATTATGTAATTTCATGCTCTATATATATTTTTTGTTGCTTTCTAACCATTCATCGAGGTTTTTGGGAGTCAATCCAAAGCAATTTTAGTTAGTTTGGCATAATCGACTAGGTATCAAAAGCCACGCGATTTGGCACTTAAACATAAATAGAAAAAGAAGAAAGTGAAGTTTTATGACTTTATTAATTTTAGATTTGTAGGTTTAATCATGTTTTAATTTCATGTCATATTCTAAATATATGAACCCAATCACTTTGTCTCTCAAATTTATAATGTATTTTCAAAAACATTCCTGCTAATTATAAAGTATTTTTATCCAAGTGTAGTTTCAATATACATAATTAAATAAGGGCAATTTAAGGAAGTCAACATATAGTTGTTACAAATAACTAAATTAATTTTCTTAATCTTTCCAAATTAGTTAGCCAACTCTTATATTAAGGACCAAGGATAGTATTATTTAGTCCCTTAATTTTCTGTTGATATTTTCCCTTCATCATTTTAACTTATATTGTAATTTCTCATGCTATATATGGTTTTTTTGGCTTTCTAATCATTAGCGGTTTTTGTGAGTCAGTCCAAAGATATATGATGAGATCTTATATATAAATATACATATTGTGCGAGTAAAAAGCTAACCGTAACTATATAAGTCGACGTGATGTAAGTTAAGTTATTTTAGTGTAAGTGACAATTAGGGTGTTAATGTTGAAAAAACTTCAATACTGATTCTATTGTGTCACATCCTGCCAAATTTAGCATTGATAGAAGGGATAAAAAATTTGGTTAAGGACCAATAGGAAAAGAAGATTAGCTAAGAAAACTAAACATGGTGTGAAATCCAAAAAGGGTTCGGACTGGCATTTTTAAATTTATCGGTCCAAGAAGGGCAAAACAGGAAATTTTGAGAAAAATTCTAGAAAATTCTTGAAAAATAGAAAAAATGAAAATTAGAGTTTTAAAAATACGGTTGAGGCTCGAAAGATGGAATTATTGTGGAAATAAATTATTATGGAATTTTCCGTAAACGGAGGTTTTTTAGGAAATTAGTGGGAAATCAAAGGAAAATAATTATTTTAATTATTTAGAGGCCTTAATAATTATGAAAAAATATAAAATAATTATCTAGATATTTATTTGAATTTATAAAATTATTTTTAGGCCTTGGAGACTCAGGAATTAATTTTAGGGAATTTATTTTCCTGCAGTGACACTAATAAAGGCTTAATGGGAGAAAATTCAAATTAAATACCTAGAGATGACAAAAAATTCTGAAAATTTTTAGATCATATTTTCATATTAAAAGGTGAATTACCATGGAGATAAATGGTTTTTTAGAGGTCTGAAAAAATTATGAAAAGTTACTAGTGAATAATAACCAGTAAAGTTTTAAATTGGTTTGAGATTTTGATTTGAATTGTGGGCCATCTTTTTGGGCCATCCTAAACCATTTGTGGGGCCTATATTAGGCCCAATTCAAGCCCAATTTCGTGCAGCTTCTGGACAGCTCTATTTTTAATTAAAATAAAATGCAAATTAAGAGATAATTGTTGGAAAACTCTAGAGTTTGGACACATCATTAAATTTGAAGTTATGATGCATTTGATGGCTGCCAAATCACCTTATTTTCTGCCATTTTTGACGTCCAAATTAAGAGAGGAATGGCAGGTCCATTTGTCTATAAATACCCCTCCCTAAAATACAAAAAAAATGTTGGAAAATTAGAAAAAGAAGGGGAGGTGTTGCCATTTTCATTCCAGACCAAGGGACACTGAATTTGAGAGGGTTTTGAGCAAGGAATCATTCAGTTTATATCAAGAAAACATCAAGGTATGCTTAAGCCTTCTCATCCCTAAATTTCAAGTTAGTTAGTTAGGGTTTGTGGCTTGAAAAGTTAAGAGAAAATGCTGCACAGATTTGGTTGACATGCTTGGCTATTAGGGAAGGATAGAAACCTTAAATATGATATGGAACAAACTTGTTTAAGTGGTGTATGAAATGGTTTTTGGAAGAAAACCAACCTAAGGCTATATATGTTCATTTCGGTCAAGGGATGTTCTTGCTGGAGGAGTTTGTTTTTCATTGATTTAATGATTCCAATGGGTTTAGAATATGTCTTTGTATAGGGATATGCTATTGGGAAGTGTTTAAAATTATTGAAATCAAAAATGAGATTTTTGGAAGCTTGAACCTCCTATTCGGTCACTACAATTTCATGGGGAAGGAGTTTGATTTTTGAAAAACTGATTGGGTATTTGGATTCCTCAAGAAAAATTGTGTAGGATTGAGCCAAGAGATCATTGATTCTAATGGAGGAATTATTTTGTTAAAAATCAAAGAAAAAGGGGAACATGTTAAGTTAAAGATAAAGGACTATGTTTAAGTTGTTTGGTTATTAATATAGCTTATATTTATGCTTGAATTAATAGGCTTTGTGAGGAGAAATCAAGGACAATCATTATCTCTTGAGGAGACCTAAACTATCAAGTATAAAAAGGTAGTATTGAATTATAATTTGATTATTTATCTTGCTTGTTCAATGTGATTATGTTGATTGGTTGAATTGAAGAATTTATGTGGTGATAATGGTTGACTTTATGACATTTGTTTGTACTTTGGTCAAATGCATAAAAATATGTCAATGTGAAATTGTTGATGTTCCTCTTTTGGTATGATACAAAATATGATTTTATGTGACTTGAAGATGTTTGAAGGTTTATAACATGTCACATTATACTTGCTTGATTTACATGACGATTGTAATTCATTGTTACTGAGATTTCAATAAAATCTCACTCCCCTCAATATATAAACAATAATAGGAATCCCAGGTGGTGTCAATAAGAGCAAGGAGAAAGAAAAGGGATTCACTTGGAAGAGGAGAAAGTTTATTATTTTTGAAATAATACTATGTAATTATATACATTGTTATATGTATGTATGAAATTATATCAAATTGTTGTATCAGTGATGAGGGTGCCTTACATGTGAATAATTGGTTAAGGAATCATGATTAAGTATTTGTCATATGACTAGAAAAGATAGATGAAAGGAAAAGGAAAAGAAAAGGCTAGAATGGTACGAAAAAGGGATAAAAGTTGACTTTTCGGGAGTAAAGTTTGACCAATGTGATTTTAAGCAATTAGACGAATCTGGGTATGAAACTTGGCATGCTTATAGATCTTATTTTTATCTTTTAAACAAGTAGTAATTCATTAAATTTGGATTTTTGTATAGAATGTTATGCCCTTCTAAAGTTGGGCATAAATCCTGAAAAATTAAAAAATGACCAAATAAATAGTATCATTTTGAACGAAATCTAGGATTGATGTATGAGATTTGGATACGAATGAGTATTTTTTTTCTTGAAAGAGAATGTCAAGAACTTTCTATAGAACTTAGAACCGCTCAGTTTTGATTTTTCTACAATTAGTTATAAATTTTCAAAGTTAACCCAAATTGCTGTGAATAGTATACAGAAATCCAAAAATGAAAATTTTAAAGTTGAAATTCTTCCACCCTTCAGCCTTGTATAATGACTTTAAATGGTTCCAATAGATATATAATAAGATAACAAAGGAGGTGTGACATATTGCATTATCTAATAATAATATCTTCCATGATATTGTAATTAACGCAGCTAAAATGTTTACATGCCTATGTCGTATTTGTATGGGAAAAGATTTGTGGGTCCCATCACACCTCTTATTCTTCAGCTCAGACGAGAACTCTTCCTTCAACCTTACCATCAAATTCATTGGAATGAAGCTCGTCGCCTTTGTGCAAAGGTGAGTTTAATTTTACTTTAGTCTTTGATAATTCCTCGCTATATATATACATATATATATATTGACACAAACACAATAAACTTGTTGATTTCTCCTAATTAATTAAGGAACAATTATATATCATAGATAATTAATGTCGAATATATAAATCATTGCAGGAAGATCTTCACTATCCACACCCCTTGATACAAGATTTGATATGGGATAGTTTATATGCATTCGCTGAGCCACTTCTCACTCGTTGGCCCTTCAATAAGTTGGTAAGAGAGAAAGCTCTTCAAGTAACAATGAAGCATATTCACTATGAAGATGAAACTAGTCGATACATAACCACCGGCTGCGTCAAAAAGGTAATATTAATTAGAATGACTCAATTAATGCCAAGCACTTTGATATGATTATTGATTTCGGTGTGAACATGCTTCTAATTAATCAGTATTTAATTTCCCTTTTGCATCATTTGCGATAGGTTTTGTGTATGCTAGCTCGCTGGGTTGAAGATCCAAATGGAGATGCTTTAAAGAAGCATCTGGCTAGGGTTCCTGATTACATATGGGTTTTGGAAGATGGAATTACCATGCAGGTAAACAATTACTCTGTTCATAAATATCTTCAAGTTTATTATTTTAATAAGAATAATTTATTTAGTAAAAAGGAATATGGAAAAATACCAAAAAATACGTTTTGAATTTCAAAATTCTAAATCAATATTATTTACTACATCCGAAAAGCAAATAACAACACATTTTCATAATAATTCCTAATTTGAGATTTTAAAATTTTAAAGATTTTTTTTGAGGATTTTTCCGAGAAATATTTTGGGTTTAGTCAATATATGCCATTAACTATTTGCAGAGTTTTGGAAGCCAACAATGGGATGCCGGTTTTGCTGTGCAAGCTTTACTTGCCACAAACCAAATTGACGAAATTGCTTCTACTCTTGCAAAAGGACATGACTTCATCAAGAAATCTTAGGTCAACATTTTAGTAACTAGTTGAGAGCTGTTATATTTGCGTATATTAATGCATAAGTCCTCTTGTAGTACTAACTAAAACTGATGATCTTATCAGGTTAAGAAGAATCCTTTAGGTGATTTTAAAAGTATGTATCGTCACATTTACAAAAGGTCATGGACCTTCTCAGATCAAGACCATAGATGGCAAGTTTCAGATTGCACGGCAGAAGGCTTGCAAGTGATTAACCTTTTTACTTTATCAAATTCACCTTATTAAATGATTAACCTTTTTACTTTATCAAATTCACCTTATTAAATTATGTTCCCATTTAATATATATATATATATATATATATATATCTTTTGGTTTTCTTTTTCAATGTTGTCTTCTTTTATCAATGTTACTACTAGAGATTGTGGGTAAAAAGATGGAATCTGAAAGGCTTTATGATTCTGTCAATGTCTTGTTGTCACTTCAAGTAAGTAATCTTACATTGCAATTATGATTAATTATAATAATAAAACAATGATTTTTTCGTAGAAATATCTCATTAATTCAAATTATACAGAACCTTTCATTGAATTTCTTAGGGGATTTTCTCTCTAGAGGTTATCTTTTCATGGTTTTTTCCTTTGACAGAAAGCCATTTCTTTAGGGTACTGTTTGCTTTGTGTTTTGATTTGATTAGTAGCATATATAACTCAAATTCACACATTTGCAGAGTAAAAAAGGTGGTTTAGCTGCACGGGAGCCAGTCAAAGCTCAAGATTGGTTGGAAGTAAGAATCATACATGCATACATATATACATCATATGCCACTTTGCTCCTATTCATGGGTCAGGAAGAAAATTTCTTTCTAAATATAAGTCACTTATAAGCTAATTAATGACCCCCCCCCCAAAATTTACTCCTATTGACTTAATAAATGCAAGGAAAGATATAAAGTAAATATGTGAGAGAAGCACCATTTAATGAAATATTTAACATGTGTAACTACTAAAAGGACTACTTTGAAAAAAGTACATAAATATGAAAAATAAAATGGATTAGGGTTTTCTATTTAGGACCAAATTGAATATCAAAATAGCTCTTATATTAAAGATCAAAGATAGTGTGTTGTTAAAAAAAAAACTAGTTGTGAAAATTAAAAATGTTTTGGGATTTCATGTTTAAAATCCTTAAGGCAAAATAATATTTTTATATTGGAAAAAAATAATCATTTTTCTAAAAACATATTTAATCTTATATTTTATAAATACATATACACATTAATTATTTATTAATTACATTTTTTATATATTATTTATTATATTGGCTAAAAATATATTATTAACAAATTTATTATTTCAAATAAAAATATATTATAAAATCTATCTTTTTTGTAATTATCATATTACCTTATGTCTTTTTTAGTAATTTGTACATATAAAAAGTGTTTGTGATAACAACTATCTAAACACTTTCAGTTTATCAGAATCACTTTTTTACAAAATCTATTCTTTCAAAATCTATTCTCAAAAATAACTTTTCTTCCAGAAGTTGTTCTCTAAACCATAGTTTAGTTTTTTTTCCAAACACCTCCTAATGTAGACTGTTTAACAAACATGTCAACCAAAAAATGGAGCAAAAGGAAGCATGACATTTCCAATGACTGTGACATTTTTGTACCATTTTAAAAAATTTATTTTCACATCATTTTTTTAACTTATATGTTTGCTAAATAGTCAACATTTCGTACTATTTTTTTTTTATTAATGTCATGTATAAATTTTGCATCGAAAAGAAGTTTATAGTGTCAGATTCTTATGATAAAATACTTATGTTGTAAATAGATTTGTAAGCTAACCCTATATTTTTTAATCATCTACATAGGTTACTTGATTTTAATATCTAGACCATCGTATTCAGTAATCAATTCTTTGTATAAAAAAGATCAATAATCAATTCTATTAAATAATTAGTTAGAAGTTGCAAGTTTCATATCAATTATATTAGTAAGCGTCTAGTAAAACTAATAATTGAAATAAATTAAAGTTCTATAACTATTGGTACAAATGCATACAGTATTTATTATTCTTCAATTGTTTGGAGAACTACTGCCAAGGTTGTCAAACTCATGAGTTTAAGTAAAGTATGTACTAAACTTGAAGTCAGATCATAAACTCGTAAAAGTTTACCTCTATCAATAAATAATTATTAAAAATATATAATTAAATAATTTAAATATAAAAATGACAAAAATTTTGTTAAAATATAAGTTAAACCCAAATAATTAAAATTAAACCCGCCAACATTCATATTTTATCATACTCAATATAGATATTTTTATGAAATTCATACAAAAAGTCACTATACATAATCAAATAATAAAATAATCATAAATTTAATAAAAATTATAATTTAGAACACTGATTTGGATTTTCAATATTTTAAAGGTATTTACAGTTAAAAATTTAACTGTCTTTTACGCATTCTTTGATATAAATATTTCAATTTTTTAATAAATATTTTACGTAATTTTAACAAAAATGATTTTATCGTTGTATATTAAAATTTTATGAGTTAGGAATATTATTCCATAGATTTTTTTAAAATATTCAAGTATTTTTTATGACGCACTGAGTGGCATAGGAGAAAAATTCAAAATTTGGTTGCTTTCGGTGAGTTTTGTTGTTGGTTTCAACTCGTATATAAATTACCGAGTTAATACAGTTTCACTGAGTTTAAACGAGTAACACGCCATTATTTATGAGTTTTCAATAAAAGCGATTTTATATGTGTGTTAACACATTTTCCAGAGCTGAAAACGTGAAATCGATGAGTTTAACGTGTTGAAACGTGAGTTTGATTACCATGGACCGCCACTGTACTAATTAATTTGCCCAACCAACAGGAGGGGGGTGATTGATAAATATTGAACCACCAAATTTGACTTTTTGTTAGCCTATTAATAGTTACTCTCACATTTAATAACCTCCCACCCAACAGGATGGAGTAACCTATATTTGTTTTTGCCAGAATAACAGTAACCTACATTACACTTTTGATCATTAGATGTCATACTTAACCATCGTTGCAAAGATAACTATAACTTTTCTTCCCCTACAACGTGTTGGCAATATTTTTATGAAAAATTAAAACTGAAACATTTACTGATTTTAGTTGTTAAAATGCGTTTGTGCACTTATAATTTCACTTATATAAATACTTATTATTTTGCTATTGTAGTCAATAAAATGCATATGTATACTTTGGAACTTTATCTACGAATTTAACATAATTGATATAAGTAATTTGGCTTAAATTTTGTTATATTATATATATAATTTCACTTATATAAATATTTATTATTTTGCTATTGTAAGTCATTAAAATGCATATGTATACTTTGGAACTTTACCTATGAATTTAACATTAATGATATGGGTAACTTGATATAAATTTTGTTATATTATATATATGTATGTATTTGATAACCCTTTGGCCACCCCTAAGGTGGCGCTTTTTCTAGATCATATTATTAATTATCCGAGCAACCAATTAATCTAGATCAAGCTTTTGTGGGATTACTTTTGGACGGCCAGCTCTACCATTAATATATAAAATTTTTAATTTGTGGCATGCAATAGAGGATATATATCTTGTTAGAGCATCACGAGCTTATTCTCATTTCCATTTATCTTTAGTAATCAACCAAATCACCTAGATATATGACGCGTTTCAAAAATCTCAAAACCAAGTAAAATTTTGATACAAATTAGGTTACATTACATAAAGTTCTCGCAGACTTTACGTACACATCTTGATAAGCTTTAAAGTTTCATAAAAATATTTTTCTATACTTCCAATATTAATCATGCACAAATTTTTGATCAACAATAATTAAGTTTGTTATTCCACATACGGGGCATGATATTTCATTTGATCATATATGCATCCTTAAAATTAACCAACCAAAAATGGAAATTGAAAAAACATCATCTTCTTGTCACAATTCGTCTTAGGCTAATAACTCTCTAATTGTCTCTCTTTCTTTTTTAACGTGTATTCTTCTACTTTCCTTGTATAATTATATACTACCTCCTATGATAATTATAAGACCTCGTTTGTAGACTACAAATGAGGTCTTATAGTTGGGATTGAAGGTAGTATTTTGATTTTGATTTCCTCTCCAAATAAGTATCACAATATTTTAGATTACATACAGTAAAGAAACGGCAAATCCCATGAATTAATTATATATTTGGCAAACTGAGCTGATTCATTGACAAATATTATATTTCTGTCTTGTACTACCTCCTCTGGTCCTTAATATAAGAACTAGTAGGGGTTTGAGTTTAACAAATACTAGTTCCCGTAATTATCATTTTTTAAAATTATTCCTATTGATTGTATATGTTAAGAGAGTATGTATTAAGGAGTATGGTTTTACTTTTGCTCCTGAGTAATACGGGTTCGCTTCTTCCTTGAATTAGCTGCTTGCTCGCTTGGACCAGCCAAGAAGCCGAGTCACTAGTTTTGAGTCAACTTGGTCGGTCTAATCCAAGTTTTCAAATATTTCTTAATATAATATCTCAATTTATTTTGTTTTCCGTAATTATCTTTTTTCCTAAACTATCGTAGTTGATTGCACATGTTAAGAGAGTTTGTATGAGTATAGTTTCAATGCAAATGATTTAAAAAGATATTTTAGACTAATCAAAACATATCTTTTACAAATAATTAATTTAACTATTTTTTTAATCCATCCAACTTAATTAAATAGATCTTAGATTAAGTATTGGAAATATTACTTTGTTACTTTTTTTTATATATATTAACTAATGTTAAATATTAATGGTGATTGACTTTATGCAGTTCTTGAGAGAAAAGAATTTCAAACAAAAAATACCAAGGGCGAAGATAGAGAAAGGAGAGGAAATAAGTGATGAAAAAGTTGGGAACACTGTGAGAAGGGCAACTCATTATCTAAGCGCATTGCAATCGAAAGATGGTCACTGGCCTGCTCATATTGCTGGACCTCTCTATTTCATGCAAGCTCTGGTATATATACCAACCATATATACGCATATGCATATTTACTGTGCTATAAGAAATACAACAAATAGATATTATTCATTGGTGGACCACAAATGTTAAGGGATACCCACCTATCACAAATACACTTCCTCAAGTTCAATATTATAACAAAAGGTCTTTGGAGTTAGAAGTCTTATTTATAAAATATACATAAATGATGTATGAAATTTTAATATTTTTTTTAGAGTTTTGTTCTCATGAATAACCTCTTACATTATTGTATTAATTTTTTACCTCTTATTTTCACTCTTCACAAATAATAAGATTTTTTTTGAAAGAATATATATTTTTACACATACATTGCATTTATCCGGTTTTAACTGATTTTTTAATTTGCATAATCCAGTTATTTGTATTTTTCATACATAACCAAAGGGAGTATAGAAGTACAATGCTATAAAAATGTAAAAGGAAAAACAAAAGCACGGGGACTGGGATCCACATGTCAAGTGGGACCCACCAATAGCAAATGTCTTTCTTCCTTTCTCCTTTGATAATCATACTACTGTAATAAAGAATCAACATAATTTCCACGCTAATCACAAATCTATAATACTTTGGATTCTAGAAATTTTAGAGTGCGCGGGCGCACACATGGATGTGCTATATATGTACAATGATAAGAATAAAGAATTATCAAATTTATGTCACATGTTCCAATTAATCCTACTTCATTTTCATATTAAATAAATATTAAACGAGATCAAATGGGCATAAATGGTACAGGTATTTTGCATGTATATTACCAGTCATCTTGATGCTGTGTTCCCGGAAGTATATCGTAAAGAAATCCTTCGATACCTATATTATCACCAGGTATATATGACATATATACATATTTAAGCATCAAAACCTGCTTTATGGTATCGGTCATATGTTACGGTTTTAAGTTTTCATGTGTGTGTGTGTTTTAAAAGAATGAGGATGGAGGGTGGGGCCTACACATAGAGGGACACAGCACCATGTTCTGTACTGTGCTGAGTTATATATGCATGCGAATGCTTGGAGAAGGACCCAATGGAGGCGAAGACAATGCTTGTTTCACAGCTCGAAAATGGATTCTTGATCATGGTGGTGCCACCTACATACCTTCGTGTGGAAAGACTTGGCTCTCGGTACGTTCTATTTTATTCATTCCCTACATGTTAGGTTTCATGCATGCATGCATGCATGCATGCATGCATGTATGTATGTATGTATGTATGTATGTATGTCTCATATTTTGTTGTTGCAGATACTTGGATTGTTTGAGTGGTGTGGAACAAATCCAATGCCACCAGAGTTCTGGCTCCTTCCATCGTTCCTTCCTATGCATCCAGGTACGTAATTCAATGGTGAACATACATTTCTAATATCAATAGATTTGGACGTTTAATTGTGTTTTAATTTTCTGTCATATCTACTATCTTCGGTCCTAAATATAAGACCCCAATCATTTTGTCTCCCAAATTTATGATATATTTTCAAAATCATTCCTATTAATTGTAAAGTATTTCGATGCAAGTGTAGTTTCAATATACATGATTAAATAGGCAATTTAAGGAAGTCAATGTATATTTATTACAAATAACTAACTTAATTAATTTTTTTAATTACCCTAAATTTGTTAGCTAACTTTTATATTAAGGATCATAGATAGTACTATTTAGTTCCTTAATCTTCTGTTGGTATTTTCTCGTCATCATTTTAATTTTATTATATTGTAATTTCTCATGCTATATATGGCGTTTTGCTTTCTAATCATCAAAGGTTTTTGTGAGTCAGTCCAAAGATATATGATGAGGTCTTTTATATATATATATATAGTCTGCGATTAAAAAACTAATCATAACTACATAGGTGGACGTGGCGAGTCCAACCAAGGTAAGTTAAGTTATTTTAGTGTAAGTGACAATTAGTGTGTTAATATTAAGAAAACTTCAATACTAATTCTATTGCATTATCTAATAATAATATCTTCCATGATATTGTAATTAATGCAGCTAAAATGTGGTGTTATTGCCGCTTGGTTTACATGCCCATGTCGTATTTGTATGGGAAAAGATTTGTGGGTTCCATCACACCTCTTATTCTTCAGCTCAGACAAGAACTCTACCTTCAACCTTACCATCAAATTCATTGGAATGAAGCTCGTGGCCTTTGTGCAAAGGTGAGTTTAATTTTACTTTAGTCTCTGATAATTCATCCCTATATATATATATATATATATATATATATATATGGGGACACAAACACAATTAGCTTGTTGATTTCTCCTAATTAAGGAACAATAAATTATATAACATGGATAATTAATGTCGAATATATATATCATTGCAGGAAGATCTTTACTATCCACATCCCTTGATACAAGATTTGATATGGGATAGTTTGTATACATTCGCTGAGCCGCTTCTCACTCGTTGGCCCTTCAATAAGTTGGTAAGAGAGAAAGCTCTTCAAGTAACAATGAAGCATATTCACTATGAAGATGAAACTAGTCGATACATAACCATTGGCTGCGTCGAAAAGGTAATATTAATTAGAATGACTCAATTAATGCCAAGCACTTTGATATGATTATTGATTTTGGTGCGAACATGCTTCTAATTAATCAGCATTTAATTTCCCTTTTGCATCATTTGCCACAGGTTTTATGTATGCTAGCTTGTTGGGTTGAAGATCCGAAAGGAGATGCCTTTAAGAAGCATCTTGCTAGGGTTCCTGATTACATATGGGTTTCTGAAGATGGAATTACCATGCAGGTAAACAAATTATTTGCTCATATATATCTTCAAGTTTATTATTTTAGTAAGACTAATTTATTTGGTGCAAATAAATATGGAAAATTCCAAAAAAAATGCCTTTTAGATTTCAAAATTCCAAATCAATCTTGTTTACTACACTTTAATAGTAATTAATTACACTTGAAAAGCAAATGATGATACATATTTGTAGTAATTCCAGATTTAGGATTTTCAAATTTTAGAGGTATTTTTTTAAGGTTTTTTCCATGAAATATTTTGGGTTTAATCAATATATGCTATTAACTATTTGCAGGGTTTTGGAAGCCAACAATGGGATGCTGGTTTTGCAGTGCAAGCTTTACTTGCCACAAACCAAACTGACGAAATTGCTTTTATTCTTGCAAGAGGACATGACTTCATAAAGAAATCTCAGGTCAACTTTTCGTTCTTATTAATTAAGAAACATTAATTGATTGGCTTGTAATTATATGAGCGTTCTTTTAAATTTTTTTTATATGTGATGTTTTTTTTTTTTTTGCCATCTTATGTACGATCATTTTAAAATGCGTTTGCAATGATATCTAAAAGAATACATGTGAATCCGATGCCGCATTGCGTAAGATTTGAGGAATGAGCCAACATTTATGGCTTATAAACAATGTGACTTACTATATTTTAAGAAAAATTATTTATTTAATTTATATAGTTTTTAAATAATTGTAGCTCAAATTCTAATGTTTAACTTCTTCAACTCAACCACTAAGTTTTAGCCATTCAATTTTTTATTCACACTTTTTAAAAATCATCAGGTTTTTCTGGAACTAAGTTGTGATGGACAAACGGATTAAATGGCTCAAATTCGACAAATTAAGTTGCATCAAGTTAAACTTTAACAATTTGAGTTGTAACCAAGACAAAATTACAAGGACTAAATAATTAATTTTCATATTTTTATATCATACTAACTACACAGAACGGAATGTGTAACACACAAAAAAAGGACAAATTTTCACAAATCCATTATTGTAATTATTTTTTAATTCGCAATAGATTTTGTGAGAAAAATTTCGTGAATTCAACTAATTTGTGATGGATTATACTCGATATATTAACGACGAAACACCAATCTGCCACAAATTAAATCTCCTTTTCTTTTTTTCCCCTAATTAATTGATATTGATTATGATGATCTTATTAGGTTAAGGACAACCCTTCAGGTGACTTTAAAAGTATGTATCGTCACATTACAAAAGGGGCATGGACTTTCTCTGATCAGGACCATGGATGGCAAGTTTCTGATTGTACTGCAGAGGCTTTGAAGGTTAATAACTTGCTATCCTTAAACAACTCAATTTCCTCATTCATCTTCACCTTTTATGATGTTTCCTTTTAATTGTTATATGCTTTGGTCTATTTTAGTGTTGTCTTCTTTTGTCAATGCTACCACAAGAGATTGTGGGTGAAACTATGGAAGTAGAAAGGCTTTATGATTCCATTAATCTTCTTTTGTCACTTCAGGCAAGTATTTCACATTACAATTATATATGTTTTTTTTCCTTTGTGCATTGATTCACTATATAAACTTTAAAATTTATATATTTACAGAGTGAAAAAGGTGGATTTGCAGCATGGGAACCAGTGAAAGGTCAAGATTGGTTAGAAGTAAGAATCATGTCATATTTGAATTAGAACTTATGTGAACAAAATAAAATACTCCCTCTAGTCCTAAGTGTTGAGGTTGGTTGAGGGATTTATTTTGTTCATAAATGTAAAACTCCAATCTATTTTGTCTTACAAATTTAAAACTCTTTGCAAATAATTAACTAAACTATTCTTCTTAATATTTATTAATTAGTTATCTATTTAACTCCTAGGTTTAGGATCGGAGGGAGTAATATAGTTGGCAATAATTTGATTGGTTTGTTTCTGGGATCAGGTGCTAAATCCTACGGAATTCTTCCAAGACATCGTGGTGGAACATGAATATGTAGAATGCACTGGATCAACAATTCAAGCTTTAGTTTTATTCTCAAAGCTATATCCACGGCATAGAACAAGGGAGATTGAGAATTGTATTGAGAAAGCTGTGAAATTCCTTGAAGACACACAAACTGAAAATGGTGGATGGTATGGGAAATGGGGTGTTTGCTTCACTTATGGCACTTGGTTTGCATTAGGTGGCCTTGTTGCTGCTGGTAAGACTTATAATAATTGTCTTGCCATTCGTAAAGCTGTGAACTTTCTTCTCACATCGCAAAGGGATGATGGTGGGTGGGGTGAGAGCTATCTTTCATGTCCAAAAAAGGTATATAAATATAATTTAATTATCAATATAATATATAAAATTGGAACAATAAATATTCATTTTAGTCCCTAAGTTTTGACTCTGTTGTTAATTAATCCTTAAAAATTCCTTTTAACTCAGTACAACTCAATGTTTATATATTGTAACTCAGCTAAAATTCGATCCCTAAACTTTAACTAAGTTCCAATAGGTTAACAATTTGAAATCTTAATCCCTAAGTTTCATAAAATATATAATTTTATATTCCAAAATATAGGGACTAATATTTTAAATAGTAAATTATAGGAATTAAGTTACATTGAGTCAAAATTCATGAATTAAGTTACAACCGAGTCAAAACTATAATAATCAAATTTTAAGGAAAAAATTACAATTGACCTACAATTATAAGAATAAAAAGATTAATTTTTCCTATAAAATTTATAACAAGTTACTTGATAGGAGAGAAAGATGGTTAGTTATTATATATACTTATAACTGTGTGCCCTTTCATCTTATGAATTCTAATAAATGATGCAGAAATATGTTCCCCTTGAAGGTAATAGATCAAATGTGGTACAAACAGCATGGGCTATGATGGGTCTAATATATGCCGGACAGGTTATTCTATTTAATTCTTTATTGTGAATAGCAATTTATGTTTATTTGTAATTTTTAAAAATAAAAAATAAACTAAAATCAAATTTTATTGGAAGGTTGAGAGAGATCCATCTCCTCTTCATCGTGGAGCAAGACTTTTAATCAATGCTCAGTTGGAGAATGGGGATTGGCCACAACAAGTTAGTACCTTTCAGTGACTCATTTAATTTGGAATAATTTTTTAATTAAACTTATAAATCAATCAATGGTAGAATTAAATGTTAATTTGTGGCTTATATTTTCAGGAAGTCACTGGTGTATTCAGCAGGAATTGCATGCTTCATTATCCAATGTACAGAAATGTTTTTCCGCTTTGGGCTCTGGCTGAATATCGGAAACGAGTTACATATATAGCTTTCTAAAGCTGAATAAATAATAGCCTAATGTACATGTAACTCATGAACACAAATAATCTCCCTACCTTTTGAAACTTTATTATGAATCCCTCTAAAGTCTTATATTTATACAAATAATTCCCTCATAATTAGTTTTGTTGATCACTGACAGCTTAAAGTTTAATCGGGTATATAATTAATGACTGGGGACTATGTGTGCAAATTTGAAAGCTCAGGGAAATATTCATTATTAAGTTATAAAGATTAGAGGGGGGGTTTTTGTTCATAGTCCAGAATTTAGAGAGTTTTGTATAATTTAACTTAAATAATGCTACCTCCGGTCCTAATTAGAAGACCTTGTTTTTAGTTTACAAATGAGGTCTTCTAATTAGAACCAGAGGTCGTATAAGTTTTTAATCTGATGGTGGGAAGCAAAGTCCAAGCAAGAGGGGCATTATACTTTTATGTGTCTTGATGAAAACACTCCTATTCCTTTATAAATATTCGTACCTTCCTTGTGCACTGGCCAAAATCTTAGATCAATTATGAGTCTGATCCGTTTGGTAATGGCCATGTAGTTACGGTTGTCTTTCTTATAACCAAAATGAAGTGCTTGTGTCATATGTATTCTAGATTTTAGGTTTATAATTTAAGAAATGAGACTGACTTAATTGTGCTATCAAGCCCAATTAAAGAAGTCCCACAAGTGATAAAATGGTCCGCAGGGACAACTCCCAAATTAAAAATATTTCTGGGATAGAGTATATATATTTTCAGAGACTATGGGAAAGCATAAGGGTCGAAATAAAAGAAAATAGGGATTTAAATGCAAAAGAAGAAAGGTATAATTTAGGGAGAAAAAGATGAAAAGTGTACAAAACCTAAATTATAATTATAAACGTTTAGGGTACTCAAATGCAAATAAATATTATGACATTGTAGAATAATAGGTGATTTAGAGGATATTTTAAATTGGAAAGGACTTATAAGTTATTTTTAAACCCCTAGGAGATATTGAAGAGGATTACATGAATGACAAATTATGACAAGGTTAAAAGTTTAATTTATAAAAATTTCAATCTTAAGTGTAACTATGAAAATTCCCCCAAAAATGCAAAAAAAAAAAACCATAAATTCAAGGGGGGGAAAAAGGAAAATGACTTTGTAAATCCGTCTTACCCTTTTCTTAAGTGGTATAAAAACTCATTTTTCAATTGTCTAGATGACCCACACCTTTTTTTTTTTACCCACACACTTTTAATTGGTGTCATCTTTCATCTAACAAAAGAAACCCATCGTACACAGGCCTAGCAATTACACAATTAATGAAATAATTAATTAATATTATATTAACTATATGCATGATTATTCCATTCCATGCATCTGCATACCCCAAAAAAAACTTAGGTCAAGTTTCATATATTCATTATGTCAAGTTCTCTGATTGTATATGATCATGTGTCTTTTTTTTTCCATGTGGATTTATAACTAAATATTATTAAATTGTAATATTTCAAAAATAGGGCACATAGTCATATATGATTGAAGAATTTGATATAATAAATATAAAGAACTTGATGTAAGTATTGTCCATGATTGTTCAACTATAAACATATTTATGAATTCATATAAAGTTCATGTAACTTGTAATTGTATCCTTGTTTGAGCCTGCTATACGATTTAAGGGTGCTGGAGATATTGAAAATCTATAATCGGAAAAAGACACCACGCTAGTATATTATTTTCTATATGATGGCTTCAAGGAGTAGTCATGTGTGTTTTTTAATTTCTTTATAATTTTTTATGATTTTTTATTATATATTTACATATTACGCTGTAAAAATACTATTGTATCCTTATCCTTAACTATCATTAGTCAATATTTAGAGGATAAATCGTATTTTTAATCTTTTAACTTTACACAAGATTTTAATTTAGTCCGTTAGCTTTAAAAAGTATAGTAAGTCCTTTAACCCAAAAATTATTAACAAATAATGATGAGATTGAGATCTTGAATATTGATAACACATTATCAAATGCTAAGAGTTTAATTTTCAAGACAACCATGATTCTTACAAAAAGTCATCATTTAAGGCTGGTGATTTTAGGATTCAATGATAAAAAATATACTCTTTAAATTAAGGGAGCAAACTGAAATTTTTATAAAATTTAAGGACCAAATATATAGTTTATTCATACACTACTAGAAAAAAACTCTTTTCACACGACCTTATCTATCCCGGTTTTTGCGCTAATGATGTAACAAATGAGGCAGTGACACTAATGTAATTCTTATTATTTACAACATACATTAATGTAACTTATCTTTCGAAACAACATTTATTATAAACAATCGGTGTTTGAAATGAACAGATGAGTCTCTTTTGTTTTCTTTTCCCTGAAATAACATGTCTGAACTTGAAAGTTCACCATGCCTTGTCACCATCTATTATCATAGCCTCCCCCTCCTTTGCCTCCCTCATTTGACCAACAAGTGACAAAAGTAGGTGCAACTAAGCGTAGTCTCCGCCACGTGGTCTATCACTTCTATGTCCTTAACAACAAAGTTAACCTCCTACTTGATGATTAGGACATCGAGTATGACTTTTTAGACAGCCCTTCAAGTGCCTCCTCCTCTGATGAAAATGTAAAAAATTTAATCTTTTTTTGTTTTGAAATATTTTATAAGGGTTTACTCACCCCAATCTCATATATAATATATATAGTGCTATTTTATGACCTGATCGATTTGTTCATTTTGTTTCATGTTATTGTCATTTTTCCCTGTTTACTAGTGTTTAACTCTGGTAATAGCAAACTCTAAAACTTCACCAGTTTAAAGAACGAGAACTGGTAATTCTTTAGGTTTTGCATGAATGAAATTTATGCTGATTGTGATGAAAACTAATTTAGTAATGAACATTTACATGGCTCTATCGTGTCTGATGTAGTATGTAATGTGACACTGATCTCTAGGTGTAACTATGGTAAATCCTTTGCCCTAGCTATATAAGGTCTCTCTTGCACTTAATTTTGCAGCCTTAAGAAACACTCTCAATGCACACTCTCTCCTCTTGAGCTGTGGTGGGAGGTTGTTGAGTGCTCATGATGTCCCTTCCACATCGCCATTACTACTATCATTTGTCCCTATTTTCATTGCCGTTCTATTCTTGCTATAGGTAATAGTCATTGTTTTTGCCCTAAGCTATTTGTTTAAACCCTAATACTCATGCATGTTCTATTTGAGATCTTTATCATCACTATCAGTGTCGTGGGGTCTTCACCGTCGCTGTCATGAGGTTTTTGTCATCAACTTCACGGGGTATAACACAAAAGCAAGCCTACCTTCACATATACCCAGGTTGATATATATATATATATATTCTCTTTCCAAATTTCGTGTGATGATGAAATGCAATTTTTACATCTCCAAATCTATTTTTATTTGTATTAAAATCAATTCCAACATACCAAATGAGTAGGGAACCCACCCATATATGATCTACAAAGAAATAGATACATAATGCAGTAGTAAACTCTACTTTTATGGGAACCATATGTCAAAAATAAGACCTATATGCCGACATACTATTCTATCTATCCTTTTCTTTTAGCAAACTTTGGAATCTCCCCACGAGGTTTCTTCTTATGATCATATCACCCACCTCTCTCACACACATATATTGAATGCTTGTATTGAAATGTAATACTCTATAAGAGCTAATTGACTAATTTGAGTAGATTAATAAAATGAGTTAAGCTAGTTATTTTTAATATATAGGTGTTGTATTTCCTAAAAAAACCTTGCTAATAATCTGTATTTGCTAAAATTACCATTTGATAAAATATTTAACATGTGCAGCTACTAGAAGGACTACCTTGAGAAAAAATAAATAAATAGGAGAGATGAAATAGAATGTGGTATTATATTTAGGACCAAATTAAATATTAAACTAGTTTTTATATTAATGATCAGAGGTGGTGTATGGTATGTAAGATGTTAGGATTATAGTTTTGATGATAACAAAGTCAGAATTTCAGGGTTAAGTATTTTGATCGATAACGTGATCGAGCAATTAGTTATCGCTAAGGTTTCAGATAAATGATCAAGTATAAATCGGGTCTATGGTAGTCTTTTTTGATTGAAGAACTATTCGATGAATATTTTATCGATTAAGTGATCGATAATCGCTAGTATAAATATCACATAAGGGTATGGGAAATTATCGATAAGCTGATCGATAATATCAGGTAAACAATCGAGTTACTGATAAGAGACCCAAATCTGAAGTGTATTTATCGATCAAGTTATCGATAAATCAGTCATCAATAACGACTTCGATAAAAGGTAACACTCTGCACATTAGTTCTGTTACAAGTTTATCGATCATGTTTTCGATCATTTGTTTATCGATTACGTGTTCGAACTTTATGCTCTAACTCGTTAAATGCAGGAGATCAAATTCACTGATAGATCGATAATTTTATTGATCACAAAATTATCGATCACATGATCGATAATCAATGTCCTTTTTACTCCTACTCAGTTTTGCTACAGGTAAATTATCGATAACATTATCGATAATTTTGACTTGTTTGCTTAAATAAGTTTTCACATAACGTGATCGATAAAGAGTCTGAAAATTGACATATTTGCATTAAGTTATGGTGAACTATTTTTTCGATCAAGTTATCGATCACTGGTTTTTCGATAAAATGTTCGATCATTTAAATTCCCGAAATTCATGTTTTTCACAAAACGTGATCGATAATCATTTCCTTTACCTTACAGGATTAAAATTCTTTCTTCACTATTATCGATCACTTGTTCGAATAGTTAATGATCGATAAGATGTTCGATCATTTCAAATAGCCCGTGTCCTTCTTTGATTATTTACATAACCATGTTTTATCGATAATATTATCTATCATATATTTATCGATAAGATGTTCGATCATTTCAAATAGCCCGTGTCCTTCTTTGATTATTTACATAACCATGTTTTATCGATAATATTATCTATCAT